TCCCCACGTTTGATGTCTTCCCTCTCCACCCCAGGCCAAGTGGCAGAGCCAGGTCTTCAAAGCCCTCTGGAAGGCCAGGAGTGAGGGGGTCAATCTCACCTCCGGGGGCAGAATATTCCAAAGTGTGGGGGCTACAGCAGAGAAGGCCCGTTATTAGAAAGTAACCCAAGATTCAGTTTGAATTTGTGATTCATATTGAAAGATAATGTTCTGTGATTCAAGATCCAACTGGATAAAAAATACCACTACAGGATATAACGGGGAGCATCAAAATCCCTGCGGTGGCTTGGTAGACCCTTTAAATGACATTAACTCTGCAGAGTTTCAGCCAAATAGCTTCCCACTTTACTCTTAAGGCAGAAATAAGAGAGGTTAAGAAAGGACTTGTTATTTGATGTTTAGTTTTTAAAAATCTGTTAAGACTTAATTAGATTTAGAAATTAAATTCATTTTTTTCAATTACCAGTATTCTGTCATCTAATTTAATCTGTATAGCACCCATCCTGATATAAAACTTTTGAGTATAAAAATAAGTTTCTCAGGAAGCATACACCTTTGCCTCTGATTTTCTTTATTAACTTTTTTCCCTTTAATTCTACTAAGCAGAGCTTTAAATAATAAAGCCCACATTCCTTCCTTCTCTTAATGTTTCTTTTTGGTATCTTTTTTTTCACCAGCCATAGACTTAAAGAATGGCTCTGGAGAGTTGTACCAAGGACCTGCCCGTGGAAAAGCTGATACTGTTTTCACTATATCAGATGAAGACTTTGTGAACTTAGTACTAGGCACCCTCAGTCCACAGAAGGTATTGATCCAAACATTTGCAGCAAGCTCTGACTTATTAAGTAGAACATCAGAATTGATATAACAAGTTTGCATTTACACTTAGTTACTGCTGTGAGACCAACATGTTATTGTTAATCATGGTCTACACTGCCATAATGTTGACCCTGCTTTAAATTATACGATCCAACTTTGGATGTATTCGCAAAGTGGGAATAAATTTTAAAAAAATGTTAAGTAGGAAAAAAAGGAAGTAGCACATCACTTTGGGCTGATCATTTTTATCTCAGCCTCACAGGGTGGTTATTTTGGGGGGAAATGGGAGGAGGGAGCAATATGGCATGCTTTTAACTCTGGGATTCTGCAAAGTGGAATATATATGGAATCTCTTGTTTACCTAATATAATTTAGTATGTCTATACATGCAAGAGCTCTCTGTATGCAACGTGCCATGTTTTTTTTTTCTGAATTCTTCCCCTTCTTTTTTTTTTTTTCACTTGTGATGTGATGTGCATCAAATTATTGAAATATTTTCAAGCACAGTAGCTCAGGTATCAAAGCCAACTTAAAAAAATACTTGGCTGAGAATTGTACATCACTTGAGATTTTGGTGTCTCCGGATCTCAGCCTTTTTGTTAAACTGTAGTGTTTAATTTTTGGTTGCGTGGACACTGTTTAGAGGTGTCAGAAGCATTGCTGATCTCTTGAATACGGTATTAGAATACTAGTGTCCTAGGGGTCTTGTGGCTGGAGTTTGACTTTCTGTGTAATAAGGCTGTAAAGCATAATACTTAAAGCCTGGATGAAATTATTCTCAGGCTGTAAAAACGAATTCATATCTACTGCAACAATAAAAACTGGATGGTACAAAGGGATCTTGGCACAAAGTAGAAAGAGGAACACTCCTTCCCTCTCCGCTGCTTTTGTACTACTACTTCTTACGTCTTCTCCATAATCTTGGCAAGTTATGTATTGAAGATGACTAAGCTGGATACTGAAAATAGCCACTTTGATATTTGGTTTTATTTC